CAAAGAAACGATCAACACAAACCGATCAAAACTCATCCTCAAAAACACTAAAGAACAACCATTACGTAACCCTACAGTACTGGTTACTAAATTTAACCCTTGTATTAAAGGACTGAAAAAACGAATTCTGAAATATTGGAATACCATTCTTAGAAATCCAGAATGCAAAACTTTATTTAATTATCAACCAATCATAGCTTATAGCAAACACAAGAACATAGGTGACGAGATAATCAGGTCTCACCTAAAATGAACATCATATTATGTGTCTGTGACCCCTGATGAGGCTACTTAATTGCCGAAACACTCTACAACTACTTGCATTATTCAAATTAATCTGCTCTATGCAAAAAACACATCTACTATAAGTGTGGTTTGGAGTGTCGGGTCCTAATAAATCTCTTACAAGTCTGGTTGATTGATGTCGCTAATTTTCACACTCTTTTTATCTACGTATAAAACATATATATATTATCATTTTGATGAACTATCCATACTATACTAGGAACAATAATGTCACCTTGAGCCAAATCAAATTATGTATCTTTAAACGACAACGAATGTTGATTTGATTGTAAAGCATATTAAACATTCATTAGATTCTAAGATCACTAATCTGACCTCGTGCCATGACAGACGCTGACACGCTAAATTTAGAGCTTTCACTGCTTAATGTCCTTCAGTGACCAGTAAAGGTCGAAATTTAAAGCCGTTAACCGCGTGTCTGGTGAGGTCCTATACGAAAAAAATCATGCAATAGACGTTATAAATCAACCAATCAATTAATTACATGTATATATGTTCCTCAAAAATTGCAATAGAGATATAACCGAAACTGAAAACAACCCAAAAACTCAGTAAGGGTTATTCTTATGATTGTACGTAATAGAACACAAAATCATCTTGCATAATTGTTATTATTTTCTTGTTGGAAGATCCATTTACAATAAATATTGAGGTAAACAGTACCTTGCATTGTAATAGAAATAAAATACCTTGATTGCAATAGAAATAAAATACGTCAGAGTGTATACAGTAAAACAAACATTTTTTAAAGGCTTAAAATCTTTTAATAGGAAAAAAGCCAAACTATTTTTTAACGATTCAAGGATTTTTAGCATTTAATTACGTGTTAAAACAGGATTTTTTTTATTTCGGAGAAAAAAGTTCTGTAACGTTTCTAAGAATTAAAGTTTCATTTTTTGAATTCTGAAAAAAAGCCTTCCCTTATTTATATTCTTTTGTCAGACGCAGTTATCTTAATCAGTTAACACACTTTAAATAATGCACCCTACTGTTTTTTTCTTCTTCTTATGTTTGGTAAAATTAAATTTGATTAAAACCACACTCGAAATTATAAATAATAAAGTTCTATAACGAAATGTTCAAGTTCATGTTCGTTTCTTTCTTTTCATTAGTTCAGCAGGTGGTCATATTACCTGTATCTTCTGGGTAGATCTGGTTCCTTTAGGATTTAACATTATATTTGAATACAACAGGGGATTTAAAAAAAAGAAAGAAAGATTTGTTATGCATTGCAACGAAAATATCTTTTAGACAATCTTGATTTTTTTTTTTTTTTTGGAAATTCTTTCCTCTTGACTACATTTCAAGTTCTTGTTTTTTCAAGGAATTGCCTTTAAAAAAAAAGGCTTACTTACCTTGAAATACCTCTTAAATTTTGACGCGCACAAAGTTAGTCGCACAAGCAAAAGCTGCCAAGTATGTTGCAGCTGTATCTCTAATTATTAGCCTGATTTTTTTTTCTCGCCGTCTACAATATGGACGAAACGGACGACCTTTGCCGAGTTAATGGCCTCTCTTTGGACATAATTTTAAACCTGATTAAAAGGAGATATGAAAATAACAAAATTTATGTAAGTATCAAATTTGATTTCGTTTATGTAAATTAGCCTCTCATTCAATTGAAATAAAATAAAGATTTTTTCTTTATTGAAATAATATTCTGATGCATTCATTTATACATTTTTGGCCGATATATTATCTCTCTCTCTCTGTGGGGGTGGCGGGTGGGGGTGCGTGTCTATGATTTTGTATGTATATATGTCCAATTAAAATTATAACGGTATAGATTACAAACTAAAGAAATTAATATATATACAGTTTATTTATTAGATTTTGTCAATTCCATTGCTGTGGGAGAAGTACACCTGAAAACAGTGGTTTCAAATGAAATTGCGCATTTTCTTTAACCTAAGTCTTTTATGTTAGCTTCCTATGTAAAACCATACTACTTGTCATTGTAATGTTGACAAAGAGACTGTGAGAGAGGTACATTAAAAGCAGTGGTTTCAAATGACATTATGCATGTTTTGATGGATTTATTTTTTTTTTTTAATTTAGGTTTCGAATTACTAGTCATTATAATCGCAAGAAAGGGTTTCGCATATTCTCTGCAGCATTTTTGTTTGTCCTCAGGAGAAAAGGCATTGAATTCCTCGGCATTAGTTTTTTGAATTTTAACGATATTACCTTGGGTTTAAATGTCTTGTATCTTGTATTCAATAGTGAATAAAAACCTTTCCAGTCAATATACGAGAACGCGGTGACAGGATCCACACTGGAAAACAAAAGTATAAATATATGGAGTTGGGGAAAATTAAGTTTAATTTACATGTTCTTATCAATAACGTTTAAATCGTATTTACACTGAATACATAAGAAATCAATATGAAATATGGATTCTGGGGACATCTTACTTAATTTACAAGTTTTTAGCAAAGATTATTTAATCTAAGATGTGTTGATAGCGATGTAACCATTATTACACCCATATAATTGATTAAATGAAAAAAAAGAAATCAAAAATAGAATAAATTTTAAAGTATGTTCATCGATTAAAAAAATAATCATAACAAAAAAAAAATCTGGCTTAGAATGTTGATTACTATTATTTAAAACGGACGGGTTTTGCTGATTAATGCGCATTTTTCCACATACATTTAAAAAAAAAAAAAACAACCTTTTTTAACGCGATGATTTGAAACAAATATTTAGAGGAAAATCGTACTCAATCAAGGTAATTGGAATAAAACACGTGAATTTTGTCATATTATGAATTAAAAAAAAAAATTAAAATGAAGTGTTTGTTTAGACTCTAAAAGTGCATTGGGGTAATTTTAAAGTCTAAAAGAATCACACAAAAGTCCACTATTCAAATGACCAATGAAATATGTGGACCTCTTTTGGCTTTTTGAGTGGCTGTTACTGTATAGGGGATTAATTTCACGGGTTGTAATTTTCATGTTTTTCTCTCCTCTCGCACGATCGCGGTTTGTTGAATTCGCGGAATCGGTATATAATAAAAGTTGCCTCCCTTGTCTATATCCGTTTAATCCGTATCATAGCTAGAACGACATTAATCAGCGTTATGTATTCACTTCACGAAAAACAGGGTTGGTTTATATAAAATAGTTAGATTTAATAATTAATTTACGATTAATTAAAACAAGTGCAGTTATTAACAGTCCTTGACTATAAACGTCGAATGACTTTCCTATATGCAGTTACGATGAGTACATGTACACTCCAAGATCTTCTTTCCGAAGGGATAATACACCGCAGCGAAATATCACTGGACGATAATAAATGTGTTAATTTATGTCGACGAAATAATATCCTTCCACATCTTCAGCAAGTTCGATAGTTATTTGAAAGATTTTTTAAAACCCAAATGACGATAAAAACTACTACGCATGATAATGCAGGTAACACATTAGTTACGCACGGGTAATCAAAACCCATGACCCACGTGTTTTGATTCATGAAACATGTAGTGTTGGCTATTAAAACAGCGTTTTAACAAATACAGGTTATTATCTGCAGATTTGAATTAAAGTAAAGCGTGATAATTAAAATAATTGAATGACAAGTACTACTCGTAATTACTGAAATGACCATGTACTGAACGTATATATACCTATCGAAGTCTATTCTCAAATTTCCAAATAAGACATGGAGGTTATTGAAAACTAATTCACTGTTTCTTGATTTCACGGATTTATTAACACCGTGAATATAGCGAATATTAACACCGCGAGTTAATGTCCCCCTATACAGTAACCTTTTCTTTGATAAGTCAGCATACTGATGCTCTGTAACCCCTTTACACTGATATGTATTTCTATTTGTCTTTCATAGACCAACATTGGCGAAATTCTTCTGACCGTTACTCCTTGCAAGGAATTGGGTATTTATGAAAAAGAGGTTAGTCAAAGGTGTTATTTAATGACATTAAATACCAACATTAGTAAAACTATAATACTGAATATACTTTCATGGTAAATGATATCATGCATCCAATTCAATTTTTCTTATGAAAAAGAAAACAAAGGAAGATTCAAGTACTTTCTTAAAGTCATGTCTGCCGAAAGCTTAGATCAGCTGTTTTGATTGAAAGTGGCCAGCGTCTGTCCGTGATTCACTCGTCTGTCGTGTTCTTTGTGTTGTACACATGTTTCAAAGGCAGTTAACTAAAAAATAGTGTAAATCGCAGGATAAAACTGTGCCATTCAAACAACTTATTGCTCACTGACAGGTCTGTGAAAGTTATTGAATGACAGAGATCTGCCATTCAGTCATATTTCAGTAAACTTTCAGTCGTCTTTTAGTTAACTGAGAGGCGTAGTTTCATTTTGTGAATTTGGTGGAACGTTTAAAAAAATCTTTCTAAAAAACACCGGGCCAGAAAAGATGAAAATAAAAATAATAAAAAGCCTTCTGACATGGTTTAAAATTATTGGTAAGATTTTTCCTGTGAATAAAGTCGCGATTTTTATATCTAAAGAAGATCGAAACCATGAATGAGAGAGCATTCTTGACTATGGGCCTGTTGTTTTAGAGAATGCCTCCAGTAAGTATTGTTGTCTTTTTTATTACAATGAATATTCATTCAGGACCATGAAAGATACCATTGGATACATTTTGATAGCCGACTTCCGCCACATATTTTTAATGTGGCAAACAGAGCGTATCGGCGAATGTGTCAGATTGGGGGAAACCAGACAATACTTGTGTGTGGTGAGTCAGGCGCGGGAAAGACTGAAAATGCAAAATATCTGGTTAAACATCTGATGCATACATGTGCCTGTGAACAAGGCATCGACGATTTGAGAAGCAAACTTCTTCAGGTAATATACATGTATAAACAAATAAGCTGACTTTGTTGTAGCAAAAGAGAACTGAGAAAACGTAACTTTATTAAAATGAAAGTTACATGTAAATGAAGAAAAACATAGTTATCTGATGGAAAAATCCAGTTAACTTGAAGGCATGAAGGGAACTTGTGAAATGATATTTTCTCGGCATGTGATCTATCTGTATATTTTGCATCGTTTTGATCGGCAGAGACTCTCTTGGAAGATTCGACTCTTCAAATCTGATATGTACTTCCAAGTCTACAAATACATGTATTTAAGATAAATCTCTTTGATAAACTAACATTTTTACAGCTCGACATAGTGCTTGAAAGCTTTGGAAACGCAAGAACGAAAATAAACCCCAATGCCAGCAGATTTGCAAAGCTTCTGCAGATAAGCTTCAAAGATGAAAAAGTCATTGGAGGTAATTTCTGTTAGGTCAATTCCGCAGTCTTTAAATTTTGTAAATATAGCAATAAATGTTTACCATGTATGTCACTTAGCTTGATTTCCTTCTTATTTACCCACTTTCACTGACTTTCCACTCCATTAATTCAGCTAATTTGCGACACGTCATGCTCGACAAAAACCGGGCTGTGGACAGGACGGAAAATTGTAATGAAGGGAATTTCCACATTTTCTACGCATTATTTGAGGGACTGTCTCCTGTGGAAAAGCAAAAACTTCACTTGCAGAGTGAAAAATTTTATACGTAAGAGATACCTAAAATTTTGGGAGATATTTTATTATTCTAATGAGAATGCAATGAATAAACGTAAGGATCAGTTCTGACTGTTTGAGGCCAATTATTTGTGATTGTTAGAAGAGAGTAATGCAGAAATTTGTTTCTAAACACTTCTTATGCTTTTGAAATAAATATTAAGAGACTGATATTGAATATAAAATCTTCGGTCTTTATTTTCCATTGATTTAGAATACTCATGGGAAGTAATGAAAGTGTACCTGAAAAGGAGAAATATATTAAACAGTACCGTGAAATAAAACAAGCCCTGGAATGCTTTGCAGTGACATGCGATGTAAGATGAACTGTCCTTATTCTTATTCTCTAGTCAAAAAATATATAATTTTAATATAATATTAATTAAATAAGTATCAAGAAACAAACAAATATATATATTTTATATATGTTTTCTTTCAATAAAGTTCAATTCAGATAAGAAGAGTTTCTTTTTTAATACTACACTGTAATTTTTTTTTCATTTGTTTTGTTTTTGTTTGTTTGTTTGTTTGTTTATTTTTTTTGCTACTGTCTTTGCTTCAAACATTTCCTTTACATCAAACAGGAATTTACAATTCTGGAGAAAATGCTAGCTGCAATATTACTGCTGGGTGAGATTACATTTGTTAAACCAGCTAGCGAAATTGATAGAATCAAAGTAAAGAACGAGGAAAAACTGAGGCAGGGTAGGATAACCTGATTTTATTCAATCTTTTATATATCAAATGAAAAAAAAATCATTAGAACTATGAATTGAGAAAAAAATCATATGGAAGATGATAATTTTTAGCATGCCATGGGTTTGATATTATAGGGCTTTTGAACTTATTTCGGTGAATATTGGCACCAGTTGGCTGTACAAATGCACGAGCTAAGTTCAATAACTCCTTTATACATAGCTAAACATCTCCCATTCATTTATATTAATTATTTCAACTAAATGATTCAAATTAATAAGAATTTTGAGAATCGGCATTTCCATTAACGTCTTCAATATGGCATCATTCCAATGACCCTACCAAGCGTTATGCTATGCTTATTGAGGTTTTATTGAGGCTAATACGTATTAAATTATTAAATAATTATTTCAATTTTGCGTGAAAATAAACACATCTTACCTAGCCGCCACTACATATAATAAATTTGCCTTTGAGAGGTTAACCAGAGGACATTTTTTTTTGTTTACAAAGGGGCGTTAAATATTGAACACTCCTATTCGGAATGTTTCCGGCATAGTCATATAAGTAATACAAACTCAGCGTTCAATAAAACGCCAAGATATTGAACGCTAAAATTCTCTAGACTTTTGGTAGAATTGTTTTATTATCGACTATTTATTAGCTTTATAATAAATATATTTATTAAAATTATATTCATGTTTGTGCATTCATTGTTTTTCTATCATTTCAAAGTTGCGGAATTGATGAGTGTTAAAGTTGACGATTTGAAGAAAGGCCTTCTGTTGAAGAAACTTGGTGCTGGTGAGATGCACATTATTCAAACAAATAAGATTGTTTTTAATTACGACGGGAAATTAAACATGTGGAGGAAAATGTACGCACATTTCGGACAATTTCTACTTCATTTACAATTATTGCCTTAAAGACAGTTGAGAAGTTCCTAGGATATTGTATTTTGTATTTCTTTGTATTTACCAAAACAATTTATACTTATTATTATCTTATGATTTCTAAATCATTTTTAAAAAGTCTTTAAAAATGTAATCACTAAAAACTGTCACATAAGAAATTTGCGTAATATCCAATAGGATTGTTTAAGAAACACCCTTCTCTGGTATCTAGCGAAAATGCTGGTTATGTACCTAATTTTTTTTTTTTGCGAGGAGACTTGTTAAAGTGGCAGTATCTTAATCACAAACTCTCTGGAGAAATTATTTATTATTGAGGAAGGTCTTTTTATAAGTTAAAACAATATTTTTAAAAAGCACCCTTCATTTTCGTCATTTTATATCAAGCCCCAACTGATGAAATAATTCCATCTCGAAAATTGATTAGATTTATTGAAAATTAATTTGACCTTTAATAAATTTATATCTCAACGTCAAAGTCGTTTTAGCTTTTGTGTAGGAAGGACAAGATAGGCTTAGACCCCTTTTTGGCCCCTGGTTTGGGGTGTCTTTTAGAATGATGTAACAGTTTATCAATAAAACCCTGTTGTCACCCCTGCCACAAAATGAGTATTGGTTCTAAGTTATAGGATATACAGAGGTCACAGGAAGGTCAGAAAATATGTCAATTTCCGAATTTTCTCATTTTAATGCAATTTTTCATCAATTTTACAGCACATTTTGTTTCAGAAAACATGGAGCATAAGCTTGCCTATCTACCAAATTTAAATATTTCATACATTAGTATCAGATGCATCTTATGTATAAAAATCTGATAGGCAAGCTTGTGCTCTATGTTTCCCGAAGTGAAAAGTATCTCAAAAATGACGAAATTCCGCCAGAATTGAGGAAATTTGGGAAAATGTCCTACGTCTGCACCCTCTTGTGACCTCCATGCAAGCTTTGAATCAAAATTAGTGCTGGTTTTAAAACAAGCACCATTTTAAGTTCTTGAGTGCAAACTATCACAACTTCAACTGTGTTCTGATTTTTGCATCAAATAAAGGGCCAGATTCGGCCCTTACCATACCTTGACCTTTTCTGTTTCTTATGTTAAGCTTATAGAAAGAAGTTACTTGAAACTTTGAATAGCCCTAGAGCTTATTTAAAAAAAAAACACTTCCAAACATGATTTGTAGTCAATTATCAAAAGCCAGGCTTTTAGAACAGTAACTAAGCAGTATGTTTGCTATTCCAGGTATAATTTGCAGTTGACAATATTAATTACTCTGATCGTTATTCAAGGTTATATATTCAAGTTCAAAATCATTATTTTATTCCACTGATGAAATGTTTCGTTCACTATCTAGAAAGTCTCTAGTAAATCTGACTTAATATCTTAAAAGAAAAAAAAAACCACATAGGAATTTGTATAGTTATTATTGACATTCTTATAGATGTAAGTCTTATACGATGCCAACTTGATGCACAGGATGTGCATTTTGACTAATTATGTCTCTTCAGTGATGCTCATGCCAAAACGTTGGAAACCCGAAATATTGAATTTAAAAAAAAAATGAAGAGCTAAAAAGGGGGTGCCAAATACAAGAGTCAAATACAAAGAAGGGTCAGACCTATGCAAGAGGGAGATAATAATTAATTTTTGAAATATATATATTTTTTTATTTTACCACAGCAATTAAATATATATAGTTTTTGAAAGGGCAAGGCGCATTTAATTTCTTCTGGTCTTTATCTCTGAAGTTACATTTTATTATAATTTCATGTTTCATTAAAAGGTTGCCCTTCTTTATCTTCATGGTACTTCATGGATACATTTATATATGTAAATGTCAAAGTCAGAAGGTCATATGTTGGCTAAAGGAAGAGCAAGTTGTTTAATAGTATTGGTTCACATGTGAAGATATTTTTTCAAACATACTTATTTTAGTGCATAGACAGATGATATATTTTGGTACAATTATTGACTCATTGTCAAATATTTTGATTAATTGTTAGGTTTGTAAATAGCTAGGAATCCATAAAACTATTTCAAAAATTCCCGTCATTTCCTTCATTTCATCAAGTTTCGTTTATAGGTGAGGGAATCCATCACACCAGTATACAGGAGGCTGAACTTAGGAGAGATGCTTTGGCACAGCACAGTTATGAGCGAGTGTTTGGATGGGTTGTCTTGAAAATCAATGAGAATTTACATCGATATAGAATAGAGTACTTTTTAAAGTTCTTTAACAATTTGTTTTGTTTGTTGTTTAACGTCCCTCTCGAGAAATTTTCACTTATGGAGACGCCACCACTTGCCAGTGGAGAGCTGCAAATTTTGTCCTATACTCGGCACTTACGGCCATTGACCAGTGAGGGATCTTTTTCTTTCCAGCACCTACTGTGACACGGGACCTCGGTTTATACGGTCTCATCCGAAGGACCGGTTTCCACGTCCCACAGTGGGATTCGAACCCGCCACCTAAGGATCAACTCCTTACTTCGCGACACTAGAGCAGACGCTCTAACCACTGCACCACGCGGGCGACCGTTTTTAACAATTTAAAAGATACCTTGAAAACATGTTGTTTATTTTCCATTTTTAAAGATTATTTAATATGATGTAACAAATATGATTATGAAAACACATACGATAAGATATAATATTTTTTATCTATTAAGAACGGAAGACGTTACAAACATAGGAATTCTGGACATCCCGGGGTTTGAGGATCTACAAATAAACAGATTTGAACAAATGTGTATCAATTTACTAAACGACAAAATGCAGATTTTCATGTTTGATATGATTATCGAGAGTGAAAAGAAAATCTACGAAGACGAAGATGTTGATCCAGATATTTTGACCATGAAGATGGGAAATGAAAATGTTGTTGACATATTTGAAAATAAGGTAATTTATAAACTCTTAATTGTTCGTGTACTCTTCTGTGTTTTACTCAGCTTATTCAATATACAAAACACTACGCGGCTAGGATACCCTAGCAAAAAAATACTATAGTTAACTATAGTTTACTAAAGTTTACTATAGTTAACTATAGTAAATCAAAGTGTCAAAGTTTTCACCATAGTAAATCAAAGTTTTTATAGTGATCACTATAGTGTCAAAGTGATCACTATAGTAAATCAAAGTTTTCAAAGTGATCACTATAGTGTCATAGTTATCACTATAGTAAATCAAAGTTTTCAAAGTTATCACTATAGTAAATCAAAGTTTTCACCATAGTAAATCAAAGTTTTCATAGTTATCACTTTAGTAAATCAAAGTGTCAAAGTAATCACTATAGTAAATCAAAGTGTCAAAGTTATCACTATAGTAAATCAAAGTTTTCATAGTGTCAAAGTTATCACTAAAGTTAACTATAGTTAACTATAGTATATTATAGTTAACTATAGTTAACTATAGTATTTTTTTGTTAGGGTAAGGCTGTCCGAAGAAGGTCACAGTGTACCAGCCGGACTTACTTCTCTGAACTACCTCGATATGACGTCATAATGGCATATGACGTCAAATCACTGCAAATTTGAGCAGACATCATGGGGAAAGTGTCATAACTTTTACGTTCCTTTCACATCACAAGTAGAATACGTTGATGTTTAATTCATGTGTTTGGATTGTTGTTTTAAGGCCGTTATGATGGTGAATATTTGCAATATCTGCACTTTATATATACCCAAGAATACGTTTAATTGATTTATGTAAGAAACCGTTCACAATAATTTTGTTTTTCACTTGTGTCGATGTTATTTTTGTGCAACATTTAAGAAGATTTATAAGTGTCCGTCACGTGATCAACACAGTCATGTGACTTTACAGAAATGTTTTTTTATAATACCATATTCAACTCTCTTTACAACTTTACTGTGTATGTAAACATAGATTACAAATTGAAATCAAAACATAGCTCAAAATAAAATTGTATCATCTAATGCATATTAAGCCTTCGGACAGCCTTAACATAGCTGCGTAAAACTCTTGATATCAATCTTAATGTTGAAACATCTTTAAGATTCTTAAGCATTTTTTGTTTTATTGTGAAAAAATAAAAGAAAAAAAAAAAGAAAAAAAAAAAAGATATACATGCATGTGACATGAAATGTCGATATTTTGATACAGTAATGAATAAGGATTTTTAAACAGATGATAGGTATCTGGCAAACGCTAAGCACGGAAACATCACCGCCCTATGGACGAGACATGCATTTAGTGGTTAGACTGCAATGGAACCTTAGAGATCAAACTCCAAAACTGATAGAATTCAAACAAGGATGTCCATCAGAGTTTTGCATCAAACACCTTGCAGGAGAGGTAAAAGTTCGAAAAAAAAAAAAAAAACAACATCTACCTTTTTACAAATTTTATTACTTATACAATTTTACAGTACTTGAAGGAAACTATTTTTACAGTAAGATTTAGATTTATATATTTTGATAAGCAATTTGTTTGATATTATTAGTTTAACTGTTTCATATTTTTAATTTTTATGTCCTCGGATGGGACGTTAAATGGTGCCCCGTGTCAAGGATAACAACCCCCTTGGCACGCAAAAGATCGTTTCTCAAGTTTTCGAAAAAGAGTAGGCTCACTGGGGGTCGCCAGAAAACCCCCCAAAAACTTTCAACCCTGAACCCATACGTCATCCGCAGAAATATCGCTGAACTATTGCCGACTCGGCGCTAAACAATAACAAATAAATCAATCAATCTAAACAAAGATCATAATTAAAATTTCAAAAGTAGTTTGATTTTAACAGAGACAGTTACCCATATTCCCTTTGCGGTTCCATTCCCTATAATCTTCACTAAATTAACCAAAACCTTTGTATAGACTTATTTAAGCAAATTATTTTCCATAGTATTTTGGGCGACATAGCAATGCACATATAGGACAATGAGGATAACCAAATCAGATTTAAGTACACGTGCATAATATCAAACAATCAGAAATCAGCATATAAACATGCTTGTCCTTAAAATCATTTCTGATGATTGAATAATGAAGGAACTTGTATTATTTACATATACTATAAATTTTATCTCCTTACTTTAAAAACTAAGAAAGTTATATATGTTAAAACCTTAGCCAATCGGATTTCTGCATACGTGCTTGCACGTATTTTCTAGATTTCTCACAATCATATTCTTATAGTGCCTCATAAAATATTCCAATGTCTTAAATATCAAGGAATTATATTGAAAATACAGCCTATAAAGTATCAGCCAATCAGATTTAAGCTCATGTTCATGCATGTCCTCGCATTCAATTCTGAGTATAGAATCCATTTTACCTGTCTATATTCTTAATTTTATCCTGTTTTGATTAAAACTAAGGAATTAATAACTGCATTAATAATTAGATGTATCTAAAAATTCAGCCAATCAAATTGCATCAACGTGCATGTGCGTGTTTGAAGACTTTACTGATAAAGCATATTGTAGAACATTTTAATATGTACCCTTATTTTAATTGTCAAAGTATTTTGTCAAAAAAAATTCAAAGAAGCTATTGAGATTTTTGTTTCAGGCAATCAGAGCGAAGCAATTTAAGCATTTCATTACAAACATGAATGTTATGGCTATATCATGTTTATCAATCAATTCTCTCATTGCACGCACGCGCACGTGCATGCATGTGTATGTTTACAAAGTCGTTTCGTCTAAACTAGTTATACCTGTGTATATCTTTACGTACTGAGTTTCAAAGTATTTTACCAAAATATATAAAAGATACTTTTATATCAATTACCTTGATCATTTCACTCAATGACATAAAAGTGCCCAGAAAGGAGGAAAATATTAATAACAAGAGGAAACCTCCTTGCTGGAGCAACAAGCAGGTCTTTTGCTCTATTAAGCGAAGAAGTGAAGGACAAAAATGCATATTAGTATCTAAGAAAAAGAACACTGTTCTGAAGAGCATTCTACTTAAAATAATGTGAGACGTTTTTTTGTGACTAAAATCATTCAATTGCACGGATATATTTTTCAACAAAAAGTACTTAAAGTACTTCCGATTTGACTGGAAGCGACGTCGATCGACAAAAAATCAGGTCGGACGTCTTTTGTGACTAAAATCATTCAATTTCGTGTCCAAACCAGCTAAAATAAGCCTTCCTAACTACTTCAGGTCGGACCAATAGTTAACGAAAAAAAAGTCTGATACTTTCGGTGACTTAAATCACCCTGAAGTGAGGTAACAAGACTACTTTTGATGATCTCGCCTGTTGCTTCTTGTTATTTTGATCAACTTTGCTCAAATTAAAATTACAAATTTTAATTAGCTATTGAAATATTCAGAAAAAAAATTCGGCCCCTCTAGATCCCTTATTTTAGGGGTCAGCTCTTTTTTGTTGATATCAGATGAAAGTTAGCCTATTTGTGCACAGATTTTGTACTGTATGTTTTAATAAATTATTTGCAGGTAAAGAGATGTTGACGAAAAAGCGTTGAAAATTTTGAAATTTACGATATTCCTATTTTCTGACTATAGCATGCGCCGACGCGCGGCATTTCGATAAAAATAAAATACATTACGCATATCTGTACACAAAGGTATACAATATCTGAAAGTTTCATGTTTCTATCATGAGAATTATATGAAAAATTCTGCTGACAAAACGAACCTTCAAATTCCTTTAATCGACGATATCTCTTGAGTACTTATGCTAATTTTCAGATGTCATCTTGTCTAAACTACTGAGGTTATCTTTATATGTTGAATTTTAAAGCATTTCATCAAAAAATATATAAAAGTTACGAATATATCAAGTATATTGGTCATTTTAAGTATTGCACGCCCATGCGCGTGTATGCACGTGCGCGTAAAATGATCTTCGTTCCTCAAATATTCATAACATAATTATGAACCTAAAAAGGTTTTACTTGAAGATTGATTGATTGATTGTTTGTTGTTTTACGTTCTATTCGAGAATTTTTTACTCATATAGAAACGTCACCATGTACTGGTGAAGGGCTTCAAATTTTGACATTTACTCTGCATTTACGGCCATTGAGCAGTGAGGGATCTTTATCGTGTCAACGCCTGCCGTGAAACGGGTCTCGGTTTTTAAGGTCTCATCCGAAGGACCCGCAACTTTCACTTCAAAGTGCCGAGCGCATGGCGAAGGAACAGTTGCTACCCATTTTTTATCGACTTAGGTCAGTCGCGGCCGAGATTCGAACTCACGACCTCCCGATCACGGAGCGAGCGCTCTACCGACTGAGCTACCGTGAACGGTCTTTTACTTAAAGAAGAGTAGTTTCCAAGAACGCAATTGGACAAACAAGTACCCGGGAAAAATAATAAAAAGATGAGATCTCGTTGCGAGCAACGAGTAGGTCTTCCGTTTGATTTCTGATAAGAGATCTTAATTGGGAAATTTGATTGATAAAAGAAAGTAAAACAACTTTAAATGAATAAAAATATTCATATCAATTCTTCAAAATATGTTTAGCAACACATTAAAGAGTGAAATCTACCAATTTCAAAGAACTTACTTTTTTTCACTCACTTCCGGTATGACAGGAAGTACTCAAATTGACTTTTACCTCCTCACTGAGTGTGGAGGAATCGTCTCTTAAAGTTTAGAAGAAAAAAGCATCTTTCGACTACTTCCGGTTTGGAAGAAATAATACTGGTAACTACCTCCGGTCTGAGAGGAAGTAACGTCGAGCGTCAAAAAATATAATGTCGGACGTCTCCAATAACTTAAACCACTTAATTTCATGCCAATACTTGCAAAAATAAGCCTTTTCTCAACATTTCTCGTTTGACCGGAAGTGACGTCGATCGACGAAAACTGAGGTGAGACGCTTCCAGTTACGCAAATGCATTGACTGACTACTTCCGGTTTAAATGAATTGACGTCATTAGACGAATATTGATGATCTCTACCGCTTCCACTTCTTATTTGAGCAACTTCGCTGCAGTATTATCTTACATTGTACAAATTTTCAATAATTATGACAGATTGAGGAGAAAAAAAACCCCTCTAGATCCCTTATTTTAGGGACAAGCCCCTTTTGTTTTATATCACACAAAAGATGTTGTTATTCTTCGCACATTTTGTTCTGTATGATTTAACAAATTATTTTCAGGTAAAGAGATATTGTAGAAAAGCGTTGAAAAATTTGAAATTTTTGAAAAAAATATTACAGTTCTAGACAATTAAGGTTTATAGCAATCTTAGCTGCTAACGATATTTTATCGACTTTAAAAAAGTTATTTACAGACTTTAAATCAACTATTAAAACAAATCAAAATATTGTGTTTAAATCTTGAAATACTTTGCTAAAACTTTACTATCTACCTCCGTAAAAAGGAATAGCGCTACACGTAGGTCGCTTATGAAGTTTGCACCTTGGCTACGCGCCGATGTTACATAAATATACTCCAAAATTCACAATCAATGCCTAATCCATTTCAATGTTGTTTGTTTTATTTTATCAATAAAATAACGAATCAATTTGAAATAAGACTGGTCACTCTTATGATTCTGACGATTCTCTTTACATTTTTAAAATTGGTATAACAATGAAAATAACCCGTGATTGAAAAAAATGTGTATTGAAATAATTCATAATAATTCCTTTTGTTGCAAAACGAATTCATATACTTTTTCACAACGTAGAATAAGCGCAATACTTTTGAGTAAACAGTTAAAGTAAAAGTAATTGCGGAGCGCTAGTCCACACGCGATGATTCTCCAAAATAAAACACATGATAAGACATAATTGAGGAAAAAAACGTCTTATAAAAGATAGCGGTAAGGATAAAACAATGAAATATGGAGATAGTAAACAAATAAAATTTAAGATTGGTTAAATGCACTATCGTTTTGTATTAAAATCAAATCAGAGATATTAAGATAATTTATTTTATTTGAAAGATCCAATTTAATAAAAAGGGTAATCCATAGATCGTTGTGTTAGTAAAACAGGTTTAGAAAGACAATGTTTGTGTTGTGTACGGTCACTGATCGCTGTTTCACATGCACTCGATTGTTCCTTTGCCACATGTGATCAAATAAATGTTAAGTAATGGTAAAGAAAACAAAAACCGACGGCATCTGAAATAAGACACATTAAGACGAGACTGAGAAACAGATTGTTTTTAACTTAATTTAAATTTGACAGTCGGAGCGAATAAAAATGGAAATGATTTAATAAACTAGCCATTTCGGATTAAGACTATTATGATTAAAAACAAAGATAAGCCGAAATAGTCTGAAATATTCGATATTATTATGAACATAATTTTTTAGGTCACCTGAGTCACTCAGGTAACCTATTGCTATCTCTTTTCGTCCG